ACCGAGTAATTATCCCGGGGGCTAGTGTTGAGATGAGTGAGGCCTGAGGCTTGCTTTAAGCTCACAAAGATGAGGTGCACCATATAGTGTAACCGAGTCAGTTATTATGGCTTCATCCTACCTGGTCTTGGGTGCGATTCCCAGTTAGGTCGGTGGATTCAAACTGCTACTGAAATTCAATCAGGTTCAAACCACTGTCCAGTGCTTTCTAGATTTTCAGTTGACGCTGCATTTCCTCTGTACACTGCACAGTTCACCACATAGACATCAAGTTATTCCAATCCGACATTCACCATAGGATTAATGCATTATCGCCTTTTAGGTGTGAAAAGATTAAAAACTTGGATAGGATTCAAAACCACATATGGATACGCTTTTGCGACATAGGCTCCGATAGCTGTGCTACAAGGCTCAGCGGCAGTTCTTCTCTCTTCACAGCTGATTAAATAACCAACTTACAGAGACGTGAAAACCACTTTACAAAATACTTACTTTGACAGATTTACCATTAAACTAACAGGAATTCGCCGGATGAAATCTGCTGCTCGGATGAATGTTCGAAATTATGTGGTTTGGGTTTAGTGATCAAACGTAAAAAACAATGCTGTGAACGTCATCACAAAACGGGTGGGGTTTGTGCAAGGAACCTGCTTGTCAAATTCGCACCATGTTCCCAATTTGTATGCTTGAATGTCCGCTTCATAACTATACTGTGTGATGAAATATCACGCGCAAATTGTAGAACAGACGAATATTATGAATTTTTAAGTTGAGTCAACATTGTTGTTACAATCTGGAATCCAAATTCTGACCACTGGTTCCCTAGGTTCCAGAATGAGCTCTCTAAGGATGTCATTAAAGAAAATGTATGATTATTTTTGTAATTTCGAGCCACATTGTCCCTACGATTTCGGAACAGAATTGATCGAATAGTTTATCAAGCGAGCCCTTTAAATCCGATCGATTCCCATCACTTCCCTAAGTAGCGCATTCGAAATAGGGGTATTAGAACACGGACACGCGTACCATGAAAGCTATCCACCTCTCAGTACTAGCTTAGTTCATGCATGTCAGCCCAATAAATGTACCGGGGCAACTTGGATTCGGTGTGTGATGCTCCTTTCCGCATCATTCTACTCCGCGTTGTAGGATAGTGGACTTTAAGACAGTGTTGACAAAAATCATACCCGACAAAGTTACCTCGTCAGGCACCAGTTATTACACAAGTGTAATTCACAAATGCCAGCTGCGCATCATAGGGTTCATCCAGTTGGCAGGTTGACAGCTTTTGCATGAATTCAACTACACAGATTGAATTAAAAGCATTTCACCGTGAAAAAAACGAACCTTATTAAACCATTCGAGGATACTTAAAAAACTAGACCCACCGCATGAACCCAAGCATTTGAGTGCAAAAACAATAACTTCAGTAGACTTCACAGACTCGGCTCATTTACCTGAGAGCCATTTTGTCAATGTTGACCCTGACGNTTTAAAACAGACGCAACATGAAAACAAGCCAAGTGATAGTGGCTTATTCAGTTGAATGTTTGAACTTTGTACTGTGATCATGGTCTAAATTCGCTCTCTGTTCCTTGTGAATCCACAATTTCCTATTAACATTCATGAGTGAGGTGAGTGCGAGCACAACACACCAGGTTTCAGTATACCCCGTTCCGGCGTGGGATTCTTTTAGAACCGGATATGATCGGTAAAGTAGTAGTTCATCAATATTGGTTAATTCTCTTTAGGGATTGAGCTCTAAAATTCTGATGGAACCCAATTTAGGCAGCCATCGGTTGCCTGAAATGAAGACAATGAATATTTTGCAATTTAGTGAACGGATAAGGCCAAATAATTTAAATTGCATGTGTCATACTGGGATTTCGGATTCAAACAAGTAAAATTACTTTTTGACTCGACAACATCGTTTTTTTCAAGTATGGTGAGACGCATTCAACGACAGACAAATAAATCATTTTCTTCCGTAATCTTTAAACTCAGTGAATACTTTTTGACCAAGCTAATAAAACTGGATTAGGAAGTATCTGAAAGTATCCAAATAATGAAAGTACATCTATACCTGTACACCATTAAACCTGAATTCACTGTTCCTAAGCCCTGTCCAAATAAGTGTCACTCTGATGGTATTACATATCAATCGTACTGGAAATAAACGAGAATGCATCCATCCATCCATCCATTCATTCATTCGTTCGTGCATCTATCCATAAACTTATCCATCCATTCTCACGATGTCTATGCTCGTTCAGTGAATGCACTAACTGGGGAATTAGTTACAAAGTCTCTTTTATTCCAATGCACAGCACGTGTACATCAAAATGCCCGATTATTTCCGATTTACATTCCAACACTCGACTGATTGGATTGCATTACCCTGCAGTCATTAACACAACTTGCCAACCCGTCAAATCGCGCTTCGGGGATCATTTCGTCCCGAATTTCTGTCAACGTAACTTACTGAGATTACACAAAATCACACAGGTCAGCGAGAACGAAGTTGTTATTCGCTCATGTGCGTGCTCGAGTGCGTACGTGCATGGGTGTATGTTTGTGCGGATGCGCTTGAGTAAACCCGACCGGAAATATTTCTTTCTCAGTCTATTACCCGTTCGAGTAGTCTCTCAGTAAAAAGTGTGTTCCAAAGGAGTAATTGCCCCCCACGTTCTGAACGGTTTAGTTTGCCAAACAGTGGCAGGTAACAATAAAATGCAATGCCCAAATCAACATTTATCGCATACATACACATACTAGGATTCGTCTAGTCATGCTTTTGGAGTCGGGAACACTTCAGAAGAGTCGCTTCTGAGTGAGTGAATTGAAGTAAACGATCGGTGAATGATTCCACGGCAAGTGTTTCTTCTCAATCCGGAAGGGAGAAAAACAAAGGAGGACCAGGACCTTGATCTTTCATTGAGCTTTTACTTACATTCAGCGAACTAACCGGTATTGAATTTAAGAAAGGAGCTCAGATTCACTGTGGAAATAGTCTCAATGGTTAGAACAATGTTCAGCTAACATTTCTGGTGATTAAAAGCTAGGGCATGAAACATGGTTGTTTACTATGTGACACGCAATACAGTTGATGCAGTTCTCATTTCACCATCATTTGAAACATGTTAAACTCACGAATCCATTCAGATCAGTTTGATATGTCCCGCAGAAAATGGTGATATGATTGTCACAATGATGATATGTACCTGGGGGGAGGGTGACTTTCTGCACTACCTCACATTGTCGCTGCTGAAGTATCTCACGCGATGCATTGTTTGCATGGATGACTGATAGCCAATGTTTGCTAGTTCACATATAATTGCATACGGAGTGGGATTCGAACCCCTGGAAAATGAACTAAAACACTGCAGACTTCTGACCGAAGTAAATTGAAAGCTTTCTCATGATTACAGAATAAACTGCTTGGTAGACAGAGTAAAGAGGTATCAAGTTTGGATTAGCCCATTGGGTTGTTCAGAGGTACCGGGTACTCTTGATGGTCTTCGGTGTGGGTGCCTCTGAACAAATAAACATTTCCATCGCATTTAAATGCATACAAATAGTGGGGAAATAACGATCTCCCAAGCAGTGAAACCCACACCCAAGACCATCAAGAGTGCCTGGTTCTTCTGAACAACCGAATGGGCTAATCCAAGCTTGATACTCTAAATTGATTGAGCCATTCGCACAAGGTGATAACCGTCGGTCGTGTAGCTCAGGGGTAAGGGATTGAGGTCCCGACCCGACTGATCGCGGTTCGAGTCCTGACGTAGACACAAAATGTACGCACGGCTGACGAGTCCCAAACAGAACAAAACAGCTGTCTAGTGCTCTTTGTTAGTTATCACAAACATTTCCAGAGTAAAAAGGTATCATCTGAAAAGGTAAGAGGCACTGTCGGATGTCACCAACAGTCTAAATTCATTGACCCTCCTGAGGGATGCAGATAAAAAAACCCAGGTAGAAAGAAACAGCACTACCCATATGGCTACCGAGAAACTGATCGGAACGTTCCACTGTATCTATACATGATAAGGAAAACCCGAATGGAAAGTCTGTAAACAATAACTTTATTGAACTCACTTATTTCAAGCGAGTAACGGAGGATTTCGTTCAATTTCAAAGATGAATTCGTAGTGTATATAGCAAATGAAGCATGAACTGAAAAGCTAGGAAGCACTGTTTTGACCTCGTTGGGTATTATCAGCAGTGCGAGTCCATCGACCCAACTGGGAATATTTCGTTCCGAAAAATTATCGATAGACGTTATTGCAATAAATGATGATAGTTTGTTACCCGTCATGAGTTTACGAAAATCAACCGTGCTACGTAGTGCAAAGACGTGAGTAAGAATCGGTTCGAACAGTTGTTTGTATTGCAGTACCAATTATCCAATAGACCACTGAAAGGTTTCAAGTCATTTTATGCACATTTGTCTTAGGAGCCTTTCTTTTATCAAGCCGTCTTATACCTCTGACAGATTTACGGATAGAACGCCTCGTGATAAATAGTATCATTCACAGCGTGAAATAATTGAATCTATGTCCGTTCTCTTAACATCATTCAGGTTTTAGTTTCTGTTTTAATTTGGCGTAGATTGACTATAAGTATGTCAATCGTTAACAGGCCGAATAGAGGACCACTGTATTGAACATAGCCGTAATCTAAATGCATATTGATTTTTTCGTTTTCACGAGACCTATTCATCTACGGGTGGGGCTTTTGGACTGATAAAAATCTACCCACTGAATTCAAAAACGCACATTATGATTTAACTTGATTTGACTGAAACTTGTTCCCATCAGATAGAGAAGGAGACCTACTAAAATGATATCAATGTATAATGCAAACTTTTAACTGACTTGAGTCAAACACCGAATTGTTGCTCCTTTTTTTCGTACTCATCCCCACCACTCCCCACCCGATCCCTCCTTCCGTTGTCTGCACATCATTTCTTTTCCGTCCCGCCGAACCACTTCAATCAGGATGTATTTAGTGATTTGGAAATCCTGGCTGTTTTATTCGCCTCAGCCGTACACGATGTGGACCATCCGGGATTAACCAATCAATTTCTGATCAATACCGGTGAGTTCAGTCGACAGTGTAACATTTCAGTTCTACGGTGAACTTTTACACCTTTTGCAACCGGGTATGATCCAAGGGGAACAGACAGTTGTTGGTAGCATCAAGGAACTGACCAAAATTGAATTAGTTGTAGGTAGGTTAACTCAATTGATCAAATCGATTAGTAGTTAGTCCAGCATTACCAGGCGATCGAAACAGCCGATCAGAAGGAAACCGGATTGGTAAAAGATTGTAACCTCGATGGAAACAGCGACAACCAAAACAAAACAGCGAAAATCAGCCACCAAAAATAACAGCGTGACGAAGAGTGATGCTCCAAAAAAAGAACAAGTTGGTTTGTGCCATTATTGCAATATGTTCCACACTTTCGAGTTAATTTCCAGCAGAGAATCGGCACGGATCAATATATCCACGGCTCTTTCAACCTATTTTGTACTACATTAAACAGTGAAGTGTTATTGCAGTCTGTGGAAAAAGTGAAGTGCTCAGCGAGCTAGAACAAACCAGTCTGTGTGATGTAGGAAGAAAATGTATCAATTTAAAATAAGAAAATAATTTGGTTAGATGTACTGGAAAATGTTTTATCATTGAAGGATTATGATAGAGAGAAACAAGGTAAAGTGATGAATTCATTTTAAGAGTACCAGAAATTAATTTTTGGAACCACAACATCGAGTTATTTACCACACACACATACACTTAGATCATTTGTGAGTTTCTGAGTCAGATGCACGTGTGTTTTACTGAAGATATTTCATAGAAATTTCACTGAAACATGATCCCTTTCTTATTGTGTGACTAATGAATTTTCTTCAATCAAACGCTGTCCCACAAAGCAGCAATCCCAATGCAAACTTAAATGCGGAAATCCCTAAAAAAACAATCGGTTGTCTAAGATCCCGCATCAAATGTGCTCTGTTGCTCTCATGAAACATTCACACAAATGCATCGTTCAGTGGGTGATATATCAATCTTATCAGACCACAATTTAGATTATACCGTAAACATTAGCCTGCAGGTGTTACGCCTAATTTTTCACCGGATTTTATTCGCTCAGTTATAACGGACCAATCGCAGGTCTGCGTGTTGTCGAAAACGTGCTCAGTGTTTTGACTATGGCAGGCGTTTCGTGTCCGTCTCGGTTCTCTAAACAGTTGCACATGTATACAAGAACAGTTTATTTCATTTGATTTTGGACGATAAATCGAGCTTATCAGTGTCTCATTCATCTTTCCGCTGAGTGAAACTAGTAAGCGATACTTTTTCAAGAAACATACGGGACAAACTATTCACTAGACGATTTGCCCGGATTCGTATCAGCTTTTTTCTTTCAAAATATCGAACTTTATAGTACAGAAGGGATGAGTCGAAGCACGCTGAGACAAAGAACCATATAAAAATAGATTTAATATGGTCATAAGTTAACGGTTTGTGGGTATCGCTGGGCAATAGTTCATAGCAGTAATTGGCTACGGCGCTGACACGTAAAACTAGGAACAAACCGGATATCCTTTTTCACTGGATCCTTTTGAAGAAAGGCTCCTTCGATCGTCGATGTTGCTCGTTAATCTATGCGGTACGGCTAACATGTTGTTTGATTAACAAGATCTTTTACGCGCTGATAAAAATGGAGTCAGTTAGAGCCGTCCATCCGAGGGCAGCGCAATAATATTTCCGGATACGTTTGGTGCGATCTTTTCAATGGCTTTCAATCACGGACAGTGTATCGCACATGTATCACCGTCGATTTGCTGACCAATTCAGAAAACAGTAAAGCCACGCATTCTTTAAACTTTCCCAATCCAGGTCGGCAACAGTACGGAGTATTTAGAAACCTCAGTAGTGACTCAAGATTCCGACTTGTTATCTGTTAATTATTGTTTAGGGACTTCCTGTAAAATAGAGGAAATCACTTTTCAGCTTCTTTTTCAGGAAGGTATTTATGATACTTAAAATCCGAATACATCCTAAAAAATTCAGTTGTTGCTAAGAAACATTAACTGTGTTGAAGGTCCTGTTCCGACTTTTCGCAATGTGCATTGATTGCCTAACAAGGTAGTCGGTGAACGTTAACAGCAATACCATTAGTTGCGCGACGTGTTTGCGAACGTACAGTCACGGGTTCTAGTAAACTGTGGCTCATAAAAGCTTGTGTTTGAACATTTTATCGAGAGTATATTCGTACGTCATGGCCGACGAAGTGTTTGAAGACAGCTTCTTCTCTGTTGGCACTTAGTTCATAGAGCTTCTGTATGACAAATACAAATACTAGAGACAGAAAGCGTATTTATTAAGATAAGCGATCGACTGTTAATGTTTGTGGGTATGACAGCATAAATTATTTCTATATGCTTGTGCTATACCTTGTGCAGTTTACCAGATACCAAGGTCCATGTATCGATTTTATCATCTTTTTGAAAGAATCGTTACTTATGGATTCTGTGTAATATGTTCGTAAACTCGAGTATGATCGTTCGCTCCAATTTTATCCGCCAAATTGGATTTTGTAATGTATTTCATGCATCCACCGTGAGTGACTCATAAGGGTTGCGATCCAGTGTTATCATGTATGTATGCATCTTGTTTCTAGTTACATGAGAGTCGTGGAATTTGTGGTTCTCGTTTCATTGACTTCCATATTATAAATGGTTGACACAATATGTGCTATGATGAGAATGATATCAGTTGCTTTAGTTATGTACACCTCAATTTAGCAGTTCAATTCACTGTTGAAAGCCCACAGTAGCGGGAACTGAGCTATTCAATCGGATGCATAGAAAATTCAAATTCCAGCTATTTTTTTCTATCGTGTTATCAACTTCTTCTTGAACAATGGCCAACTCAGTATATTTTATTGATGCTTCTTGACACCCTATAAGCGTTTGTTGTAATGTTGTTGACTGATCGTTGTAATCAGTTCAGTTTTATCCCCTCTTTGCCTTGGAATGCAACACTTCGCATTGCTTGAAATATACTCAAAAGTTGTGATACATCTGACAAGGAATTATCAGATGAAGGTTTTGTCCAAAACAGCTGCGTGATGTCGAGAATAAGACAAACTGATCTTCTATTCCATTGTTAAGATGCAAGAAAGTCAATCATAATTATATTCAAAGACTGCTTAAGGCCAAAAAATTGGTCCGGAAAGCCACATATCTGCTGGGATAAATAGCTGATATTCAGCAGCCATCCTTTTTGTCGATAGTTCCACAACATATGATTTTAAAGAATTTGCCACTAAGAGACTGGGTCGGTTAAATTGAAACCGGTTTTTTGAGACCGTGTAGTTTTTTTACATTAGAAATACTCATGAATTATTATCAATTTATATGAGAATACTGGGGGATTTGCTTTACTCATATAGCGGATTACGTCCTGTATAAAGTGAATCGAACGTAATCTTAAAATGTAGGAAGCGCTGGCAGTTGTTTCAATGCGATTGGGTCTTAATAACAGCGCCAATCCATAGACCTAGTTTTGCATATAAATTTGATTCCGCAATCATTTCGTTCAGAACCTGGTACTCAGTACAGCTGTACGTGAATTGCAATTCGAATTTTAAGCGCTCCTGAGCGATAACCAAGGATTTTGCTCAACGATCTCGAAGTCGTTACCCGCATCCGTATTGTGATTATGCTTTTGATGTAAAGTGAACGCGAGTTCTAAAATAAGAATCACCTCAACTGCTCTGTAACAATGTTGTCTACAAAGATCTACAAAGGAGCATTATACAGATCCCGGTGGAAGCACAGTAGATGGCTCTATTTTGCATTGCTCCTGTTCCAGTTTTATGAAACGTTTTACATGGGCTTTATTCCACAGTACCTTTGTCTAAAGGCAATGAGATATTTAGATGAAGTTCATGTTATCTTTTGGGTACGGTTTTCCCCTCACGATGAAATGCGTCATCAAAAAGAGTACCGGTGAACACAGCAGCAGCAGCAGCACGTGTGATCATCTTTCACGAATAAACGTTTCGTTTCTCACGAATTGTCTCCACTTTTTTATCGATGTTGTAATTACGGCATCCTGTTTGCTGAATAAGAATTCTGCTTTTCTTTGGGACTGCCAAATTCGTGGGAAATCGAATCATTTGAATATCGAACACGGTGTTTGCGTTCAACTCAATTGGTGACAAACGAATCTACAAAAATGAATGGGTTGGTTCTTTGACGTTCGTGAGAGGGACAATATGAATTAACTGAAGTCAGAATGTTGGCGGCGTTTCTGTTGGCGGATAATCTTGTACGGTCATCATCTGCCATCTGCGTCCGTTAAAAGCAATTTTATTTCACAAGTGAACAAAAAAACGGTTAGTTCAACGTTCAGCCTTTTGGAAAATTTTCACAGTTGCCGATGTTCAAACCCTCCTACCTGGTGAGACCTACAGAAAGATAGTACGCGAGCCACAGAAGAGAACAATCGGTGGCATGAGAATGTAATCGAGTACGCAGGTGAACGTAAGTGATTGAAAGGATCGTAGGAAAGTCACTTTGGTTACGTGAGTCAGGGTACTCAAACCAACGTGGGAACTGAATGCTTTGGATGTGAGAAGCAAATATGTGAAATGGGGAAATTTCGTACGCAAAATCAATTATGCCACGTATTTAGCTGACGTCAGACAATTTAATCGCTCTCCACTCCTTGCTCTCACAGTCAGGGAGCAATGAATTGTGAAACGGCGTCAACTGCCATGCGTAATTTGGAATTTGTATAACAGCTAAATTACTGAGTTACCATAACACGTCTTCTACTTTCACAGATACGGCCAAACGTGCACGGTCATTTGATGGGGGAAACTTAAGGTTGCTCACAAAAACGTGCAAAGTTTGCCTATTGCATTTAGTAAAACATTTGGAAACCACTAAAAGGCGTTTTGTTTGCGCTGAGCATTGATATTTTTCTCGTGCGTTTGACTTTAACTTTATCACCCCCTCAATGTAAGCATTTAAATGGCTATGATCTGCATCTCGTCATTGCCCGAATGTCCCACTTCTATTGGTGCAACCCGATCGTCCCCCCAAACCGAAGAAAACTATCCTCTTCTTGAAAGTTGATTTCATAGTTGTATACAGCGGAATGATGTAAACATATATTGAAAAAAATTGTAATAATTCATTCGAAAATTTGTCAGCTTGACGATGTGAAATATTTTTGTCCCCTCGAGGTACTGGTAGTCTCATCTCTTATGAGCAAAATTTATAAAGTTTCATGTTTACTTTTAAAACGAAAAATCTTATGACCAAGATAAATTTATCTGCATTGATCTGGGTCATTTGACGGTTTCCAAAGACGGGCTAATCCGTTTTCGAGAGATTGATATAGATTTGCTTTGTATATAGCTATCTTCATATTGATTCTATAGAGTTCATAAGAGTTTAGGCCCTAAATTTGTGTCGTTAAATCTCGTCTAAATGTGGAATAGCCAATCTGCGTCTGGGTTGGAGTGTTTTCTCGAAAGCCGAGTAGTACGAAATGGGTTCTCTGTAGCACAAGTGCTCTCGAGTATATTTAGCCCGATTCACAGGCATGGCACTGTCATTATTATCAGAGGAAATATTCACCAGTCTGTGGATTTCTAGAAGGTAGTTGTTCTTATCATAGGTTGAATTGTGGAAGAAATTTGTTGTCATAGCTTTTGCAACAATGAGTTTGTGATGAACTGAAAAGCCAATATCCTAGAAGTAACTGAAGTTATCGGCAACCGTGAACGGGTTGCATATTTCACTCATCTCAAATGTATTCCACATTAAAATTAAAAATAAACGATTCCTCAAATTCGAACTGTTACACAAACGTGATTGTGAGCTTCCATACCGGAAAATAAATTCAACATGTATCCTCAGCAACCAACGTATGTTCCAATTGTGGATAGGATCGATGGGCATATAATGCCGATTAGCAAACGAAGCATGCAGGAAGTTCAAGCGACAGACAACTAAATCGATCCTCCGGTGTAATTGCTATTTTCGTATGTTGTTTGTTGCTCTCATATGTCTATTTTGCTTCTGTATCTGTTCCTCCCTCGCACCCTCTCAGGTCACGATTTGGCACTGCAGTACAATGATACTTCCGTGCTGGAGAATCATCACTTGTACGTAGCTTTCAAACTGCTCAATGAACCCGAGTGTGATGTATTCGCTGCTCTAACGGCCAAAAAGCGACAAACTCTACGTCGGATGGTGATTGAATTGGTCAGTGTTTGTGCATGCATACCTCAGTTCCGATAATGTGATCTCGAATTCCATGTACCAAGAAATCCTAATACGATTTCGTGGTAGAAAACGGGATCAATCTAATTTATTGATCGTTATCCGGTGTGGGGTCTTGCACAGTCGGTGGCAATGGACTGTTTTGTCCGCGAACACAAGGCGCACAGACAGTAAAAAAACTGTAGTTGTAATCGATTTTAACAATTTCAAATTAAGAAACTATAAACCAATGTTCACTTATTTCGTGTTTACATGCTTTTCTTTTGTGTTTCAGAGATGCCATAAAGAATTGAAATTTCCAATTTGAGGACTTTTTGGTCTTAGTTTCACCGTTTACAATGCTCTTATCGGTTCAAATTCTTCATTGTTTCTGTGATTTCGACATGTCTCCTAATCCGCATCGGTTTCTAATGCAAATACCGCTGGTCCTTATAAAAGATATGATGTAATCTCGGATCTGAAATTTCCACACTGAATACGCCTAACGTCCTGGATAGTTTAGCACGATTCGGGACACTAATCAAAAACGTGCTCATCAAGTCCAACTGCAAACGCCTGTCAAGAACACCGGTGGATTTTATTTCTCGGGATTGGGTCAAGCCTTTGAAACGTCACATAAAGATCAACTTATAATTTTATAATTGTCGGTAAACATTACGTTTCACAATGAAGACTGCGAAAAAAACGGAAGGCATTTTTTGCTTATTTAACCCTATTGGATAAACTTGGCAATGCATAACTGATCAACTGTCCGTAACGATCGCACCCGACACCACAAGCCGGGCTGCTATACAGCCCTTGTATTACGTGATACGTGTAGAATTCAGTGGAGGTGATAGATTTCTTAAACCTAAAAGCATCCATAAAAATGAGTGCAAATATGGATCAATCCCAACGAAGACTAAAATTGTGCAAAGGGACATTTAGCAGATTTAAAGTTTGTATGGCGATTGTGAAAAGTTCANAAAAGTTCAGTAGCCTCGGTAATTCGAATGTGAAAAGATCAGTGCTGTCTGTGTGGCCTCGTAGCTCAGATAGTAGAGCGTGTACAAGGCGTAGCCGGAATCCTTTACTGAACGTTTCACAATCGCCATACAAAAAAACTAAAATGTTGTGTTTTGCGTCTAATGCGGACTTGATAGACGATTTCAGTTTGCATAAAGTTGTTCTTCGGCTCAAATCAGACAGAAAAGACAGAATACACCAAATCCCTTGGTACTCAAAGTATACTCGCGCAATCGAGTTGCCAGATTCGCGTGCATTCTTTATCCGGGTCTCCTTCTCTGTCTCAACAGAACTCCTGGAGCAGTTTTATTTAATCTGAGTGAATTTATGACAATTTGCTCACTGAACTCGTGATGTCATTTTGTCGGTGTTTCCACAATAACAGAATTGTTCTGGTAATATATTCTATTGGTTGGGTGTTTTCCGTCCTTTCCTCCCAGTCAAGCGAGATATTCTTCGGGGCTATTGCAGAAAAATATATGTGGTCCTCCGGTTGTGGAATGTGTTTTACATTCTTTCAAAGAACCAGCGAGGATTGTGAATTCCTTTTTGTTGTAACTCGGATAGGGGGGGGGGGGNCTGCATGTCAACATTTTGATGAAGCCGACTCATAATAGTTCTACTCATTATTGGCAATAGATGTTTTGGTCCGATCCACATAGTGAACTTGATGTTCGCCGAGTGAGAGCTGATCGTGTAGAAATCTTTTTCTAATCATCCTTTCCTCTTTATTCCAAACATTCCGGACACTCGCTTCATTGTTCGGCTTTTATCAAACGATTTAAAAGTATCACACATCCAAATGCCTTTCGTTCAAATACCAGCATATGACGTGAACCTGTGAACTAGAAAAAAATTCAGAAGCTTTACACAATGGACTATGAGAAGCCTTTCTTTATCTCGACTAGTTCGGATCCAGAGGTGTATATAATGGTTCGCATTTTTGACAGTAGTTCACTGAGCATTGATCATTGTCTCAAATTCGATTTACTGCCTAATGTTAATTGGTCTGTGGGACAGCAGACGTAGTGCACGCGATCGCAATTTATCAAACCTTGAGGGAGGAGTAATAAAAAAAGAATTTGGAAAATGAAATGGACTCAAAATTGCAATTTGACGCTAAACTCTGTTTGACCCTTGTTGTTTGACGTTTTCGGGCATGACAAAAAATGTTCTCTTTAGAACGGTTGGAGTAGACATGGCACCACATCAATGTGCATTGTTCTCTTAGTGACAACTTTTCATTCAAGACGATTTTCCTGCAACTTTTTGTTCCAGTTCCTTACTACTGTTGTCAACTCATTATCTACAACTTTCTAATTTTCTGATCAACAGGTTCTCGCCACTGATATGTCCAAACACATGAGCCTGTTGGCAGATCTTCGGACGATGGTAGAAACGAAAAAAGTGTCCGGTTCCGGTGTACTCAATTTGGATAATTATTCGGACCGAATTCAGGTAATGTTGAATGTTTAAGACAAGTAAATGAAATTCTCAAAAATAACTACTTATTTCCAATGCGTCCTACGCGGTTCGTGCTTAATTGACCATTTTACTAATCATTTGAACTGTCAGGGAAACGGTAGTTATAAAAAATAATCTTAAGGTCATGCGTAATCACTGTGAAAATGAACTTCGTAGATTTCGTTCTGATCTCTATATACAAAATATTTGATCATTCAGTTTGAAGGCTGTTCTTAAGTTAGTGGATTCACTTTGGTTCCACAAGTTTCGTAAGACCCTGTTCAAAACTTTTGGATATTCATAGATTCGGATTTCGGAATGGATGAACCCACAAAAAGCCTTGTTTTATTGAAATAGCTCATATGTAGTAAATTGATCGCGAATATTGAGCAAACTCTGACCTTACTGATGGACAGATCCAGGGTTCTTAAAACCCATCACCTAAATAGTTAATTCTAAGCTCAGTTGCTCAGTCAGTTATTTAGTCACTCGACGTGCAGCGGTTCGCCATTCACTGAATAGCTCTCTCTTTCACGTGTCGCCTGTCAGTTTATCCGTGTCTAGCTATCCATCTGCGGAAATAGATGTTGAATTATGATAACACAAAACTGGGATAGGGAAAATGTTTTTTCCCTTTGAATGGAGAACAATTTGAATTCAAAAATTAATTGTTGCCATTCGCTGTTTATCGTGATATTTCACATTCACAGATAGCCACACACATTCCTTCCTGATTCCATCTCTATTCCAATCTTTGTTTCTCAATCGGAATGCAACTAGATTCTGCAAAATATGATTCATTGTGCCGATCTCAGCAATCCAGCCAAACCGCTCCGACTCAATCGAAAATGGACCGGTCGACTGATGGAAGAATTTTTCCGTCAAGGTGACAAGGAACGTACACTGAAAATTGAAATCAGCCCAATGTGTGATCGGGAATCTGTGGCCGTAGAAAAATCCCAGGTACATCCATGGTTAACTCAGTTTTTAGGTGGCCTGGAAGGGTTGGGTGGTAGAAGGATCACAATGTGCTGTGTGTATATTCACAAATATGATATAATTATCATAACTATTTGTGGATTTTGTGTTCTAGACTTACATATATGTTTAGAACCATGTACTCATATATATCTAATCTTGTAGACAGTGGTTACCGAAACACCACTCTAATATGACAAATAAACACAGTGACATGCGTAGCGAATAAAATTTGTTCAAAACAGGAGTAGAATTGTCTTGAGAAAATAATATAAAATCCGAAGACAATTTTATTCCCAAGTATATATATTTATATAAGTATGTACTGAGATGAATTGTCATGAATACAAATCTCTGAAAATGAGCTTGTTGACCACTCTGTTGTTTTGTTTGAAATGTGCTGTGTGAGACTATTTCGACAAAACAGTAGTAAACTGAAACAACCCATTCTCGAGATTAATTTCAAAAGAAAAGACAATATTGCAATACTACACGATTTATGTCCAGAACGATTTCGCTGCATCTCAACATGGTGAATACTGCCGAAAATACAATGTTTGTATAATGCTTAAGCATACTGACCGAAACACGGCGTTTCGGATCGTCTACAAGTCACGAGTTGCAAGATTGCTAAGGTTTGCTGAAGCGATTGCTATCAATCGATGGAAGCCCCCCCCCCCCCCCCNTATCAACAAAAAGAACCTTGTGTTAGCCTATCCCTGCCCTGGTGACATGATCCGTTTATCCCTCCCCCTCTTCATGTTTTGATGTATTTTGCTTTACTTTGTGCCATGCTAAAGCTTTATATAAACATTGTAATTTCTGCAGTATGCACCATGTTGAGATGCAGCGAAATCATCCTGGACGTAAATCGTGCAGTATTGCAATATGGTCTTTTCTTTTGAAAACTGGAATAACTGACCAATGTCAACGAGCCCCGATTAGCACTATACCTTTGCAGTGTTTGAACCAACCACAGACTGATCAAAATGTTCATGTACAATAGTCAGCAGCGTGTTCAACCAACTACCACTAAACGGTTTTTGCTGACACCGATGCGTGTTTGTCCAACGGAGGCATAATGATGCACTGCCTGTTCTTTCGCGTGGTCACCTTATTCGACCTTCCAAGTCCGGACTACGAACAAACGCCCGATTTTCCCCAGACTGATCACAAGCCCATGGACAAACAACCCAGTTAATTTCAATTTGATATCCTCTTGATTATGGGGCACTTACCGGAGGAATGTGAGAATATAGTTGATCGACTGAGGTGGGATAGAGTGGAGTGCATCAGTTACACGAGAAGGATGTGATGATCTTTGGTCAGTAAGCGGGAGACTCCAGTGCACGCAGCGTGTTAAGGAACAGTGTGATTATTCTGCTGACCTATTATACCTTTGGCCACGAACCTGGGGTACCCGAAACGTTTCTTTACACGGATGCAACATTGGTAACATAAATGGATTACGTCGATCGTGTTTGCCACATCTCATCTGTATTTTTGGTACCATTCCATAGAATATGTTGAAGAATGCATCATCCTTTGGTTGATATCCTGCCCACTGGATGAGCGATAATCCAGCATAAAAGTGAGCCATTGAATCCTACCTTGACCGATTGAAATTGCTTATCCTCATGAGTGTTGTAAGCTAGAAGGGAGTCAAGGTATTTCGTGCATCCACCTGATCACTTGGTTGTTAGTTATATAAATACATATAATACATATAAATACTTCCTCCTTTATTCATTGAGTATGCAAATGTACACTCAACATTTAGGAAGAGGAGGGCGCGACCATACAAGGCTACCTAGGAAGACGAACGGTGGTTCGAAATCACGATTGAATTGACTAAAAAATAACTGGTGTATCGCACGGGAAACACATCCACCAAAGGCTATTACTGCAATTCTGTTACACATAAACAAACAATACTTAGTACATGAAAACAGCAGGTTGCCCTGTAACATAAACGATGTGGTATAACAAAAGAGGTCCCAAGAGGAGGTTCTGAATACTCGTAAATAACAAATGTAATAACGTCCACGGAGGAAGCGCGTATCAGGTCGAGGCGTAACCGCGGTTATACTGACAGTCATAGGAGCAGGCACACAGATGGTCTTAGTTTCATATTTGTATCTTGTTGCGTCGCAGTGTTTCAAATACGTCCTCGGTTACTCGTTTCATGTACATGATTCTCCGTTGTGTCTCATCGAAAAATGTGATAATATCCCCAAAATGGGGCTTACATCCATACTTTTAATCTTCACAACTTGAAGGAGACTAGCCTTTGTCTGATTATTGAGTTAAGATAGGACCTGGAGGACAAGATCATAACGTGCGGTCGTGACGTATTTAGCTTAATGAAAATCCTTTAACAAATGTCAGATTCTGGGTAACTAAAAGCAATTTGTTTCCTAAATGAACTTGATTAGAGAAACCAAACATGGGCTTGCACAAGTTGGCTCGAATTATTTCGTTACATCTGCATACACACATACTGTAAATTCATTTGCTTCTATCCGCGTCGTACTCTTTGAGAAAATCGCGATAATACGGTAGTGGCCTGGTGGTAACGTCACCAAATGACCACCTCGAGGGACGTGTGTTCGAACCCCACCACCAACGCCTGACTTACCCCATGGCAGCCCTTTGATTGGCCGCTTCTTCCTTCCTGAAAAGTGTATCATTGTGTACTCAAGAAATATAATTAAAATTAATAAAAAATAAAAAAGCACTATTGGGTGGCCCTAACAACCGTATGGAACCGCTTGATAATCAAATGACTGTTACCGGTACCTTTGAAATGAAGTTGCACGACCAGTCTCGTTTTATCTGCTTCAGTATATTTGTGCCTTCTTGGATTTTATTCTGAGAGCCATTCAATAAACTCCCTCCGACATCTTTGTGATTCTCTGAAATTGATCATATTCGATATTCAGGGTTGTTCGTTTTGTGTGTCTATATTTCGTTGTCTAAGGAACAGTGTCCATTTCAATATTATGTTCTTTTGAAGCGAAGCTTGTAAAATAGAGGTTGTCCACATCACATATCTTTCCCCCCCCCCCACACACACAGGGATCATCTGTTTCACTTGAAGCTTTCATATTATGAACCCCAATACTACAATGTTTCATTGTCAGATATAAATGTAATTTTTGGCTAAAGATAATTTAAGTGTGCGATCTCCCTCCAGGCCTAATATGTTTCACGAATAACAAGCGTAACTTGAACGTAACGGCGTTCTCGACTGAGGTTGCCAATTTTGTCCTGTAATGTTTCATTTCAATATGTAGATAAGACTGAGTCTCAGAGGATTGCTTCTAGAAACTACTCATACTGGTTGCTATAGTTGACCTGGGATAGGGAAATCACATATGGTAAGCGAAAACTAGCAACATCTGTTAAATCTCTGCTTTTAGTAGTCCAGATGAGTGCTGTTTTCATACATTGTGAGACGAATAATCTCGGTGATCTCAAAGAGTGACATGTTGGCAAAAAGCAAATCAAGCTGCAGTTTGAACGTGCATCGAAACAACACAGGATCAGTTGTGCAAACCTGTTTTTGGCATATCTATTCTTGGTTATTGACATCCAGACACTTAATTGTGAAACTATCAGTATCTTCAACAATATCATAAGTAGAATGTAAAAAATCTGTCATAAAGTGCAGAAAATTTGTCAATCAATGTAAAATACCAAATACGTGTTGGTTCAAAGGTGTTTTCGTGGATTGCAATGCTGTCTGTTTCAATATTCACCATAGTGATCAAGCCGTCAATTGGTATTATTCCGCGGTTCAGCACCTCATACGAGCGTTGTGCTGAGTGAAAATAAGGACTATAAATTGAATTCAGGTCTACAAACGGAGTGATTACTTGCTTGAGGAGAGAGATCGAAGTTAGGAATAAGAGGGTGAGAATCGCATCCGGAGTTGCAGTTTCCTGGTTGCCGATTTCTCCCTGTCCCACCTTTCCGCGATTTTGTCCTTTCGACCTCAGACCGGAACTAATTAGAACAGAAGATGGTATGATTTTCCGCCCGCCCTATCCCAGGTCAAAAATCATTTCCTCAGTGCTTTTCCGGTGTTCTTTTGATGGTTATACATTTTTCTAGCCCACTACATTTCTCGATTGCAAACAAATAGACGGAATAAATTGTATACTGTTTCAACCCTATTCTTTTTCTTTTTTACGTGCTTCATGTGGTAACCTCCTTCCTTTTACGCATTTTGATGATCAGCAACATGCCACAGCANGCCACAGCAAATTATATATCTTATCCACATACGCACATGGAACGATTCGTTTGCTCCGGCAGATTACACCAACACTCTGAGCGTAATTTCTTAAACGAAGCCACTCTATCTCTCTCACCATCGCAAAGTAATGATCTAATTTATATTTTCTGAGGATTCAGGGACAACAACGTTAAGCACCAAAAGTGAACCATATCAGTGAAACATTTCCCGGGATCGAGTAGGAGTTTTGGGTCTTTACTTCCCTTGATGCACTACGACATGGAATTTTCACCTTCGAGTCCGCACCCCGAAACCCAAATATGCCATCTCCTAAGTAACCTTTTACCTGTTGTAATCCCTTTCTGTCAGCTAATTAATAGTGCACGATAGTACGTATTTGTGTGGCCGCTTGATACCCAAACNCATGATACAATTCACACCAGATCGTGCTAAACAAATCCGGAGGTTTCTATTAAACGCATACTTCTGTACACGGAGCTTTGAATGCCGCGTTTATGTGCATGGCTTGAGCAGTAATTGTTTTTAAGGTATTACTATTTTATTTGGGCAATCTAAGATCACATTGCTTAGGAAAAAGAACCTTAATATAAAAAATTAATTTGCTCACGACTCTATCGAACCACTAAAACTACGCTCACCAGTTCGGTGGTATACATTCACATGACAGAATTTTCTTAAATGACGCTCAGCTGAATTTCATTTAAGTGTGACAGTTGACCTCTGA